GTTACAGAATGATCAATACAAATAATTGCAGACTAACAAACCTTAACTTTTGTTTCTGAACTCAGGTTGAGAAAGCGGCGGATAATGAAAGAACACAATCAGCTCAAGAGAGAAAAGTGTGTAGAGTGTAAAACAAAAGCTGCAGTGTTTGTGAACCCGATCCGTCGTCTCCTGGGACTCCGACTGTAAACCGATCAGCTGAGAAAGACACGCAGCCAGCGAACACACATCAATAAATTAATTAAATGTGATATTTTCAGCTCACCTGTTTGTCTCCCTCACACACTCTCAGGTTTCCTCCTCTCGCTGTCGAGCTCCATTCATTACTGACAGGTATGACTCACCTCTCCTCCCCCCTCACTCACTCTCACACACATAAACACACACACACTCTCTCTCTGCTGTCAGAAATGCAGCCACGCTGGTGGGTTTTTTTCCCCTCCTCCTCCTCTGCGACAGACGCCCGACTCACCGTCCAATGAGACGTCTTTTTTCCAGAGCTCCTGCAGGCAGGGGGTGTGGCTGAGGTCCCAGGTCTTTCTTGTGCTGAACATGACCGCCGGGCTGAGCAGAGTGCTGGACCGCTGGACCGGCTGCAAAGACAGGAAGAGAGAGCGACTTTCAGAATAAAACTCAAATTACAGTCCAAGTGGAAGTTGTTGCAAATTAGTTCTAATAAAGTAAAAAGTCTTTAACAAAAATCATTAAACATTTCCTTGATGTTTTACATCAGTGGTTCCCAACCTGAGGGTCGGGACCCCCAGTAGCGGTCGCCACAGGGGGGTTGCGAGGCCTTACTGATTATAAGGGATGCATGAAAACTTCACAGTATACACAGTAGGCCGATATCTTAGTTATTACAAACAAAGAGTGAACAGAACAAGCCAAAGGGAGAAGAAAACACTGAATTCGTCTGAAAGTCTGTATGATTGTTCAAAAACATAACACAGACAGAACATTTTATAAAAATATCAATAAAACTGATCTCTGATCAATATTCGCAGGAAACAATCTGATCACAATGCGCAACATTAATGCAGCAGCAATATTCAATATAATATATTAACTTCCTGAAGGGACTGGATAAATATTCTTTAGCTGAGAGCTGTTTCATCTCTCTTGCTCTGTTTGCCACCGTACTGTACATCACAGCGCACTCTGCTGGACAAACTGTGAACTTACAGGTAAAGTTAGTGTTTTCTAATAGCTGCAGTATATTTTTGTTTTTGTATAGTTTACATTCGTTTTTAAGTCAGTTGTTCTGGCCAAGAGGCAGCAACAGGAGGAAGGTCGATAACAATTACAACACAGATAAAGCTAGTGCAAGAAAACAATACGAAAGGTAAAACTGCACATATAACATATACATATACAGTACGACAACAGATATTCCTGTAGAGCAGGTGCAGTGATCAGAGTTATTAAAAGGAGGGATGAAGGTGTGGAGCTGGATTATCTTTGTAACTGGTTCCCGTCACTACAGGAGCAACAAACTGGAACAGCCAGAGGAGGTCGGACTTTAGGACCGTACGAAAGAAGCTACTAGAAAATAAAGTGCGGTTCCCGTTGGAGATCTTGAGCAGTGATTTAAGTGTCAGATAAATAACGACTCTTCCACCGTCTCCTGACCCTCTTTTCTTACCCGTCCATGTTCGTGGCGAGCTTTCCGCTCGGACGGCGGGACGTAGCGCTCTCGGTCCAGCCAGCTCTTGTTGATCAGAGCTCCCACCCAGCCCAGCATGCTGCCGGCCGCTGCACAGGCCTCCCAACTGGTCCCATTCAGACCGTCCCACAGAACCAGTGACCCGCCGCTGCTGAGCGGAGAGGACACTGACCTGGAGTCAGTTAACCCACCTACAGTCTCTGTACCAGACCACACCGGGATTATGAACACCTGATCTCAGAGCGGCTGTTGAGGATGAACTCTCAGTGAATGTAATCTGTTAATCCTCAGAGCAGATGGCCTCTTTAACCCTCCACTGACTGCAGGGATGCAGGTTCAGTCCTGTTTACTATCAGATCTCACTAAGAGGTTAATGAATGACTCAAACTCTCACTCTTCAGCTTGCTGACACCAATAATGTACAGGTGTATTGGACTTTCAGAGCATATAGACAATAAATAAACTGGTTTGGAAAAGTTGATTCCCAGCTCGAACAAAAGCAGGTTTTCCTTGGGAACCAAAGTAGGCTCGTCATATTCTACAGGTCGCTGTGCAGCGCCATCTGTTGATGCATCATTGATTACTACGGTTCCACTCAAAACTGGTGGAAACACAGGCTGGTTCTAGATGGCACCAAGAATCTTGTACGTAACGATTCAAGAGCCAGAGCTCACTAAGAGATGTTTTCTGATGCCTCCATCATCTTATAAACTGTTCAATCACGTTCTAATTGATTAGTTGACTAACGGTTGCAGCTCTATATTTCACTCATGCTTATCACATCTGTTTGCTGTATTAGCGAGGTAGCTAGCTACAGAAAAAGAAGCAGAAGTATAAAGCCTAATTTTGAGCCGCTCTGTTAAAGTTACTGCAAACTCAACACTTCCTGCACCCATTTCAAATTAAAAGCCTGTTTAACAAGGCTTTTATTGTAAAACATTTGCAGGAACATCTGGAAAACAAAAACGAGTTGTGGGCTCACATGTGCCACCGACAGGTAAAATATAGTATTACTGATCCGGTCTGGTCAGTCAAACTGGTTTGAAACCGACATCACCTGACTTCCTCCTTTGCTCCCAGTATAATTACTATGGCCACTAGAGGGCACTGTCAATTAATGGTTGATTAAGATCCATTGATTGTGCATAACTCTATATATATATATATACACACAGATTTAGTATTATTTGTGTTTATAGTGTATTTTGTATGTTGTGTGTATTTTTTGTGTGTTGAGCTGGACGGACTCACTGAGAATGACCTGTCAATCACAAGGTAGCCACAGCCAAGAGCTTTAT